TTTCTCTTGAAAGAACAGCGTGAATGGTCATGGAAATTACCAGTCACAGTTCTCTGTATTTGGAAAAGCAGACAGTTTCCCTGGTCGTAGCAGTAGGAAGCTTTCTTGACATTCTGATTGTACTTGGGGGGAGAAAAAAAGCAGGGAGGAGTTGGGGGGTGGCGGGGTGGCAGTTGTCACATGACCAGGCGCTCTCTGCACCCGCAGTTCTGCCCAGTTACACAGGATTTTCTCTCCACTTCTCAGGCATAGCTCAGGAACCAGGAACAGCAGAACCAAACGTTCTGGCAACGTATCCGAGTGGTGCTCTGTCACCTACCTCCAGATGCAGATGGCTACGCTGAAGGGAGAAGTGGCTCTTAAAGAAGCCATTGTATTCCATCTCGCTGGGACGGCCAGTTCTTGGCCTTCCTGTTTGCTTGGTAGCTGCAGACATCTATGTCAGTATCCTGTTGTAATAGGGAGGGGCAGCCACTCTACTGCTCGCTGTCTCCCATACTCTCTGGCTGTGAGGCTTGAGAGACATGGACACGCCATTCGTCCTTCTGGTTAGTTCATCTTCCCCCCTTCCANTGCCAGCCTCTAGCTGCCAATCTCTGGAGGCCACCCATCCATTGGATCTAGAATTGCATAGCTCTCTTATCTCCCCTTCTGATGAGATTTCGCCATACTTTTTCCAGTAACATCATTATTATTACTATTATTTTGTCTCAGAAGATCTCTGGAATGCAACCAATAGTTTCATTATTGCTGTTTTCCGGCAAATACTAGACAAGAGGTTGTGTTGACCAGGACTCACTACAGAGTTAATTCTGTAATGGCAAACTCACGAGATGGGTATTATCATCCTCATTCTTATCGTGAGGATGAGGAAGTCAAGAAGAAGAGAAGTGATCTGCTCAAGCAATACAGCCAGGACCCGAAACCCAAGAATCTACTTATTCTGTAGGCAGAGAAGAATTGGTCATGGAATTGGGGCCAGTCAGAAAGACACTGTATAGTAAAGCTAAAATAGCTAAAATAGTGTTCTAGAAGAACCAAAAGACCATAGTTCTGTTTCCATCTCTGACACCAACAGTGTGGCGTTGGGCACATGATGAACTGGTCTCCCCAGACCCGTTTCCTTATCTGTAAAACAGGGACTTAAGGGCTCAGGTGATTTCTAAAGGTCTCTGGAGCTATAACCTTCTGTTTCAGACAGTGGTTGGGTGGAGACATTGACTCTCTGTGGCGTGTGCAGATATTAAGGCGGAGGATACTGAATAGGTGTCAGGCTGGTGCTGGGATCACTGCCACTAAATCCTTGCCGTGACCACTTTCTAAATCCCAGTCTCGGTGGGCAGTGGGGAGGGCTGCTGGGAAGCCCTGGACAAGCAGCCTGGAGAAGCAGCTCCTGAGGCAAGTGGAGAAACATTCGCCTGCTGCTCCCCAGGTGGTGGGAAGGATACTGGGCCGGAGACAAAGAACATCGAGAAGGACTCTCGTGCGGGGATTCCTGTCTGTCTCTGATCCAGCGTGGTCCCGTGCTCTACTTTAGGGCCTCACGGTGTTCCTAGGTGTTGGCAGGGGCCCAACGCCAGAGGCCTTGAGCTGATTTATGTTCATTAGGTCTGTAGTCTGTTTCTGCTTCTCTTCTTTCCCTTCTTTGTACCAATATAACTGCACAGCCATCAGCCCTCAGCTCCCGTAGAACTGGCCCCGACTCTGTTCTCCTGATTTCCTCTGGGGGCTTCCTTCCCAGCCATTCCCAACTGCCGAATAGGCCCAGGAGAAAGGGACAGAGACCAGAGCAGTCAGTTCTCTCCCCACTCTATAGTCACGAGACAAATCTGGTGGAGGCATTTCCTTGAGATCATTTTGGTACAAAGACCAGAATACTGTTCTCTGTAACTCTATGATTTGTTTTCTTTAAAATAAAAGAACACCCAAAAGATGGAAGAAGAAAGACAGAGAAGACTTTAGGATTATGACAAATTCTTAAATGGTTCCGCCACCTGGGGTAGAGTCCTACCTGATTTTACCTTTACGTATGTGAACTTTCAATTGTTAGAAGAAACTCAAAGCTTCCTAGAATATAACTGCTAAGTAAACCTTCACCTGAAACACAAACACCGCAGTTTCCTTTAGCTTCCTTCACCACTCACCTGTCCATGTCACACACTTCCTGGATCTCATGGCTGTCACAAAAAAGGACGTCAGCGTTATCCTTGAAGACTATCACAAAGCTTCGTGAATATTGTCCTCTGTGGCTTCATCTCCTTTCCTTAAGTCGAGCAGTGTCACTGACTAAGAGGATCCTGGCTCACAGTCGTGGGATTGGACCCCTTGCTGACTACCGAGCAGAGGGCAGGCCCCCTCCAGAGTCGCGCAGCCACTCCGCAGCGGAGAACAGCACTCAGTGCAAGCCCTGGGGTTATGGGGCAGAGTACGGGGGAAATGATTAATGTATGCCAGCAATAAAGAAATGAAAAGCACAAGGCTGGAAGATCAAGTCCACATTTCTAGAGAAGAAAACAGGGGGCAAAAGTCCGAACAACAGTAGCCGAAAATTCCATGAATATGTTATGGTGTGAAACAAAGTCACGAACATACTCCATCCAATCAGTCCTTTCTCCCATAAGTGAGCCCCACCGCAATGGCATTAAATGCATCCAGACATTTAACTGGGGAGGTCACTGAGTGTTCCGAGCGCTTGTGATGAATTGACACCGGTCCCTGGCTTCTCCGCACGCTGGGAAGGTGCAGGCCTGCGGTCAGGGCTGCCAGCGTGCTGGGAAACATTACTAACGCTAAAAAATGAAATCTTCAGAGCCTTTGAAAGGCTTCCAGGAATGTCAGCACGTACTGCCTGCCCACTCTATGCTGAATGCCTAACTTTGGCTGTCTGCTTAGTCCTGAATGTGCCAGACAGGCCTTCGTACAGAGAGAGAGTGTTGTGGGCCCATGAAAGGGGAAGGCTCAGGCTTTCAGACGTGAGTGGTGAGATTCAAGAAGTGGGTGACAAAGTGGTGGGGTGGGGAGGCCCTCAGGAAAGGTGTGAGCAAAAGACCAAAAGAGAAAGAGTTGGCATCTACCTGCATCCTAATAAAGTCCTTGTAGCTTCCTGCCATCAAACCTAGAGATGGAGACTGCTGTCACTGTGTGCCCCGTGCCCACTGGTCACGCGTATCTGTGTGCCTGGCTTGTAGACTCTCCCCAGATCCAAGGACCTCTCGACCATCTGAGAATGAGATTTTTTAAGCCCTGCCAAGGCATACATGTGTGCTTTTGTTTATATTTCAACACCAAATATAAATGCCATTTGTAGTGTGTGTCTTTGGGATCATCTTTGTCTTTTCACCTCCAATATATGAAAAAATTGAGAAATGTCCATTGTGGTACATCTTTATATCTTGGATTTTTTTTTCCTGCAAGCTCACTTTTAAAAAGAAAGAAAAACGTTTTGTGTCGTGAACCATTGCCTAACTCTTTAACAGTGCTGCTCAGAATTCCTTGGCACAGCCTCTACCGCTAGAGGAAAGAACTCTTCTGGTGTTTTGAGCTTTTCCGAGGAGGCAGTCTGATGTCACTGGTGGCAGACACAGTCTGCATGTATCTGTCTTTTGTCTGCACCATCTGTTTTTCTCTTCACAGGCTATTGTTCAGATTTATTTTTCTCTCTTTCCAGGAAGGGTGCCTCTCCAGAAGGGCATGGGCTGTAGGTGTTAAAGAGATTGAGCTGGTGTTCTAACACGATTTCCCTCTGTTCCTTCCTTCCTAGAATCTTATGGCAAGGGCCTTATATGACAATGTCCCTGAGTGCGCTGAGGAACTGGCCTTTCGCAAGGGAGACATCCTGACCGTCATAGAGCAGAACACAGGGGGACTGGAAGGATGGTGGCTGTGCTCCTTGCACGGTCGGCAAGGCATTGTCCCAGGCAACCGCGTGAAGCTCCTGATTGGCCCCATGCAGGAGACCTCCTCTAGCCACGACCAGCCTGCGTCCGGACTAATGCACCAGACCTTTGGCCAACAGAAGCTCTATCAAGTGCCAAACCCACAGGCTGCTCCTCACGACACCATCTACCAAGTACCACCTTCCTACCAAAGTCAGGGAATTTACCAAGTACCCACTGGCCATGGCAGCCAAGAACAGAGTGTATATCAAGTGCCACCATCAGTACAGAGAAGCACTGGGGGGACCAATGGTCCCCACTTAAGTAAAAAGGTGAGTAAGTGACTAACTGGATTTTTGTTCCTACTTCTTTTTCTTTTTTTTTTCCATTGCACTTGGAGCAATAGGGTGTTTCCAAAATAATAACTTGAAAGTGCCAAGAAGTAAATATACTGAGTGTCCTAGGTCAGGCACCATTTTTGCATCATTTCGCCTTTCATCAGTCAGCAAAACTTTCCTGAGTTACAAGTACCAGGTACTATTGATCCACAGCTGCTGTAAGTTCCTGTGTCATTCTGGGTCATACTGGGACATTAAATACTTTCTCTTTCTGATAGATCTGCTGCTAGATCCAGGTTCTGTGCTCACATTGTTTCCAGTCTTTTCTGTTTCTTCTTTGAATGGTACAAGACACCAAATCCTGTACAAGCACAGTAATGCAGC